CGGCTTAAGAGAAAAAATTCAAATTTTGTACGCAGGTAAGGCTTCATCTTGGCTCAAAATCGGTTATACTTCCGGTCAGATATATACAGAGTGAGCAATTAAAAAAAAACATTTATTTTTAAAAGTCAACAATTTCACCAGTAAAAACATTACAAATTAATATTTTACATCTACTAAATAAATAAAAAATTCTCAAATAGTTCGACTGCTTTTTACCCTAATATAATGTGAAGTCATAAAACTATAAATAGCATTTTTCTCAGAATACCGAACGTCGAACACCTGTGTTTTCAGGTGCACAGCGGTGCATTGGAACAAAATGAGTGTCCGGCGCATAGTTAACGAAGCACAAATGACGTATTTCATTATGTCATGATGTTTTCATTGGTTGAAACCGAATAGGTGCGTCAACTATGCCCCAAACACTCATTTCGGTCGAACAGTATATATTAGGGCGAGCTCGACGCGAACGGTATTCAGTAGTTGTCTTATTGCCACCAACGATCAACGATTCAGTTGTGCTTTTGCCATCATCGCGTTCAGGTGCTTTCTGCCGACGGCACGTTACTTTCTACATTTTTACAAGCGTTTAATGCAGTTTATTTTCTGGTGCAAGTTATATCTTCTACAATTATTATGGCATAAGAAATTCTACAAACAAATGTTTTCAAGTTGGTAACTAAAAATTCAACTGTATTAGTTAATCAAATTGTGATGAACTAAAATTGTAAATATTTAAAACTGTTTAGTGAAGATAAGAAAATTATTATATCTAAATGGAATCAACCACTATGTATTTACTTCAGTGAAAATAGTAAATTAAAAACACTTTTTTTCTACTACCTATGACTCGTTAGTTATTTCTACAAAAGAACCCAATTCTTCTAACACCAGCGACATATGCTACATAACATTTTTACCAAAGAAATATTCGGAAGTAACACCGGTATTTTTTCATCAGCAGATTTCGATTAATTTCGATTAAAATTCGTTTCTGATAAAATTGTTATCTGATCAAAGATAACAGATCATGAATTACTTTTAAAAAATTCAAAATGGCTTCCTTGTTTTTACAATTTGTACAGGGTGTTTTTTAATGGTATGCTAATATTGTAGCGTGTGATTCCTCAGGTCATTTTATGGAGAAAAGTTTATATGAATATATGTCCGCAATGGTTTCAATTTTTTGCTACAGGGAGCTGAAAATTTGTTTTTTTGAAGAGATATTCTTTAATATCTATAAATTATATATAATTTTCAATTTTGGCATGTATTAATAGGATATTAAACCACATTTTAATTAGTAAATTTATTTTATTGCTCTACTAGTGGCCTCTCTGCAAATATGTCATCTGATATTTTCTACAAAAAAGTAATACGCCATTGACATTTTTCCATAATTAAATTTTTAATTATTAGACTGGTCAATTCTACATCAATACGGCATCTTGCATTTTTCTCGCCAGCCGCTCGGTTCTAAATTAAAATAATTAAAATTAATCATCAATACTGCAAAATGAAGAAATTTTAATTTAATTGATGAGCCATAAAATAAACGCCACTAAAGTATGTGGTTCTATATCCTAACAAAAATACAAAAATAAGAAATAAATCTATGGCGTATACTTTTTTAAATTAAATCGTCCATAAAACTTTAAGAAGTTCCTCTTTCTTATAGCTGTCTTGAAAATACAAATCATTGTCCATTAGAAAATTTTGTATATCCGCTTTCGTCATCGTGTTGAATGTACTCCTAAACAATCTGCGTCTTAACTAACTCGTCGGCAGATTCTTACTCAATGCAGTGCAGGTGGCTGGAAATACAACCGGCAGAAGCGGATTGGGTTTGTGAATGAACTTTTAGAAAATTAATTTAGTTCATTATACATTCTTTTTCTGATTTTTAAAATGTGAGATAAAGAGGAGGTGGTAAAAAAACCGTACAACTAAGCACACCTGAAGCTAGCCAAATTTTCTTGTATTTACGCCTTATGTTTGGAATTCTCTCGTATCTAAATATTATAAATCAAAACAAGATGTTGATGTTGCTTAAACAGCATTTTCTCGAGTTGTTTGAATACTCTTATTGTGTGATATGAATAAAAATCTGATGTCCAACACATGACTGTCATATCTAGTTATTTTAGGCTTTTTCCGGTAATTTTGTACAATCTTTATTGCAGCACTTCTGTAAATGTTTAGAGAATAAACCCAATATATACATTTTCCACATATTTCTAACTAGAAACATTTTATGACAACAGGATCACAGGGTTGCCGTATCTAAATGTCAGTTCCCACTTGTCAGCAGTGTGAATGGTCGTTGGAATGCCTAATATTTTCTATAGTGACAAACCCAATTGTGTACTGATTTCTACGTCATCAACCGCACGGAAAAAAACGCAATATGGTTTCTTATGAAACAAGTGTATCCAGTAAGTATATAGTCGTTGGACCAGCACAAGCGCTCAGCAGTACGCGAGTAGATAGTGACATTACCATACAAAAATTATATATTCAGAATACTTAATCGTAAATTAAACCATTTAAAAGTAGTTTAGACCTTCCTATTAGGGATGAAACATCCTTTCTGTTAACATATCGTCACTGGAAAGGTAAAAAGTCTTAAGCGACACTTTGGTAGTTTTCAGGGGAACGTTTTAAACATTAAAATTTTGGAAAAAAATAATCATTTCGAATTGCCTAGTAAATTATTATTAGGTTTGAATTGACTATCAGATGTATTGATTTTTTTAGAAAATTGTTATGGGAATGATTTTCTTCAAAAATAAATAACTCAATGGATAATTAGCGCTTGAGTCAAATTGTACTCTTACGTTCCTGAAATATTGAAAAGTAAAATGACTAATACGATAAAAACAGTTTTGTCAGTATAAAGCACAGTCGCTTAAAGGATGATACAATTTTATTATGAGTGGGGTAAAACAACTTAGTGTTTTAACTCTTTTACAAGTATCAAGAGTAAAATGCATAATGAAGCAAACAAACAAATTTGACAACAAAAATACTTTATAGTGTCTTATAAAATTTACCCTAATCAGAATTTTCTATAACAAAATCAAGTGAAAGGCATATTTAATAACTATTGCTTTTATTTTGTAAGTATCCAGAACAACATAATATAGTAAACATTACAAAATATTTGAGCTAGAAGTTTTACATAACTATTAATACATACTCTTGAAAATAGTTTCAAAAAAATAATACAACTTATTCTAAATATTAGTTCTAAATGTACAAAGAGGTTCAAGCCTAATAAACTTGTCAGATAGACATCAGCGCACATGCTACTGATTGGGAACAAAAAACTTTTTCATTTATTAAACCTCCTATTTAAAACAAAGAACATAATTTTAACCTATAGGTCTAAAAATCGTAATAAACTAAAAATATTTTATTTAATGATTGTGTTTAACTTAACAATAAGAAAACAAAACACCAATTTTATTAGTCCTCGTCTTCAATATCAATCTCATTTAAAGTGTCCCTAATATTATTTGCAGTCGTTAAGATACTCATGTTGATACATTTCAGGAATTGTTTTATTGGTGCCTAATTTAACCGAATCGATATATTTTTTTTTTTCGATACTGGCAAGGCGTTTTTGTATATCTTTTGGGGAACCAACTCCTTAGACTTGCATACTTCTATTTCTTCTATTTTTGCCTCCGTACTCATAGAGTACTTTACAAATACCTTAAATGGAGCAGATTTTTTAAAAGTAACAATTCGCACTTTGCTAATTTTTCCAACTAAGTTGCCTATAAAATATTTATCGGCTATTGAATCCCAGCCCTCGAAATCCCTGTGAGTCAACAGCCATGGTATGGTTTGGGATTTTTTCTAGCTAAACTAAAGACGGTTGGACACTGCGAAGGAGCCCAGATTATATTATGGGAAACACTCTTCTCGATAACTGAATGCATAGAGTCAACGGGCATATATGTGTGACCAGGTAAAAGGTAGTTCATTTGAACTGCTTTTAGATTTTCACAATTTTGGAGGCAATGATGTATACATGAGAGAACAATCTTGTTCTTGTTTTGTCCTGAGCATTAGTCACTATATAATAGAAAATGTTTTACTGAACCCCGATCGTCAATCATTTTTATATATCTTTTTAAAATCGTTGAAACTTCGTTTCCTCCTCTTTTACCTTCAACTTCTGTCCAAGTATAGCAAAACCCTTCCCTTGTTCCACATTCATAAAAAGTGAAATTGTATACTGCAATTTTTCTTAAGTAATACAGTAACATACTCTCTCCGTGTGGGGTGTTGAGCACCTTCTGGAGATCGAATGATACACAGAGTGTGAATGTATGGTTAGTATGAAAATTTTGATGATTTTAAAAATATTCAAAAGTCTCTTTTTTATCATTCAAATGACGAATTTTTTCTTCATTATTACTTTCATCATTTTGATATTTTATACATTTCACACATTTATCTTTTTTAGGGATATGAAACCCGATGTTAAAGTCTGCAGAAAAAATATTTTTGAATACTTTCTCCCCTACTATGTCTTTGCCTTCTTTTTGATAGTTTTCTTTATTAAGTCGGTATAAATTTGTAACGTTTTTAAACTCTTGGGGTAAGTAAAATCTTGTACTGTTCTTCCTGCAATAATACGACGGCACAGCAGGTAAATTCTCGATATAAGTTTTTACTGAATTAATCAGGTCGCTTGTTGTTTTATTTGGTGGTATGTGCTTACCCCTGAGGTCCTCTTTTGCAGATCCATATGATGCATGGCTTAGAGTATAGTGCACAAATTTTTGAGTTATGTCGAGTGTGTATAAAATAAATCTTAAACATACTTGACGCCTACCTTCCCCCTCAATAATAAAGTAGGTAAAGGTTGCACTTTGGCGACTCAAATCTTTGGTTCTTTTCCGCTTTACATCTGATCTCTTGCTGTTGCTTACTAATCAGTCACGCCTGCTGTCTGCATTCAAACTCCAGTAATGTTGGAAAATTTGTTATAGTCTTTCGTCGGTAATCGTATCGCATCCATTTATACATTTTTTCTGGACACAAGGATTTTCTTTAACTGCTCTTGGTCTGACCTTGGTACCTTTTTTTGAAACATATTCTTCCCCTCGATCTCTTCGTGCCTTCCGCTCTTTAGCTTTGTTTACTGGTTTTTTCTTTTTCCTAAAATCTTTAGTAACAGTTCCAATCTCCACTCGTTTTTTCTTAGAACTATCTTCACTCTCGGAATCTGACTCGGCTGTTCCGTCCCAAAAACTATCACTACCAGGAAAAGGTGCATAGTCCTCGGATAAAAAGTCAACCTATACTTGTACATTTCTGTTCGTCTTGATCTGACTGCTCTTGTAGAAGGCCCGTCTTGTAAGACACTGTCAGCAATTATATGTGCAAGTAATGGACTTGCAGGTTTACTTGCAGGTCCATATAAAGAGGGGCCTACTTGTGAAGAACAGGGCAAATCTTCTTCGTTAGGGCTAGGTAATAAAACTTTATCTTGTACGTTTTTGAGAAGGGTGTTTTGACAAGTTTCCAGATCCATTAAATTTTCCTCAGATAGATTTTCGTCAGTTATAATAATATGTATATGTAATGGACTTGCAGGTTCTGCTGTACTGGGACCTTCTTGTGGAGAGCAGAGTAACTCTTCTTTGTTAGTGCTTGGTGATAAAACTTTAACTTGCATGTTATCGAGAATACTGTTTTTACTAATTTTCAGATCCATTAAATGCCCCTCAGATAGATTTTTGTCATGCATTGCTTTATCTTGAAGTTTCGAATTATTTTCAGAAACCGGTATAACATCACTTTTTGCTGTAGAAGCCAAACCATTATCTTGATTATTTTGACTCTGTATCTCTTCTGGAACCATCGGTGAGTGGCAGTATTTTCGGAAAAATTCTCTTTGATTAGACGCCATTCTAAAGTTACGAGAAGCTTAATTAATGTTAATAGTAATTGATAAAAATAAAAAAAGTTGTGTGCAATAGTATTAAGTTTTAAAATAAAAATATCTAGTGTAAAGTAAAACACGTTTTTTTTTAAGTCTGTCTAAACTAACTTGTTTCTGTACTTCATACCACGAATCTAGTTAATTTTTATCAAAAAGAATTGGGATTTATTCGAATTCCATTGTCTAGAACCCTAAGCAAATTATACCGAAAATAAGCATAAAATCTTATTTTTAATGGTGTACCTTGCTTATGATTCTAGCCAGTAAAACTCGAGTAAATCACATATCTTTTTGACGAAAATTTACTAGATTCGTGGTATGAAGTATAGGTTTTCAGTCATTTTTTTCATTAAGAGAATGAAAGCTCTTTCCAGAACGTAATACATTAACCGTTACTAGCCTTAACTGCATTAAGTAAAAAAAAGAAAAATTTAAATCTTACAGGCCAGTACCTACATAAAACGTACAAATTTAAGATTTAAGTTTAAAACCTCGTTGATTTGCGTTTAGGTATTTCCATCATAAATCTGATAACACTGCCGTTGCTCAAAGAGTATGACGTGCATCGAAAATTCTATGAATACTGTACAAGCAAATTTCTAGCCGAAAACATAAACTACACAAATCTTGTATTGACATTGCGACACTTTTTACTTACCAAACTAATAATTAATAATAACTGAATTTAAACAAAAACACTTAAGACAAACGAACTGTACCCTCTCACCTTATAATGCTAACTAAAATACCTAAATGCTAGCGAAACCAAAGACGTTTTAGAACAGTGCAGTTCATTAGTTGTTATGCCGATAGAAAAACAAAACATTTTGACTTGCTTAAGTGACTATCGCTTGACTTTTTAATACTATGTATTTAGATTTAAGGTTAAAATCAACAATTAATAATAAAAATAACTTATTTTTGAGGAACACATAAATCTTATAAAGCTAATTTGACTAACACGCCATTTTCCTTAGATCCTAAGGACGCAAAATGGGTTAACAATAATCCTTCTAAATACTAAATAAGGCAAATTGACTAACAGGCAAAACATAGTTATGTATGTCATATCAGATAGATTAACTAACCAAATAGTAAAAAATAATTAAAACTGAAATAACTAATGGTAGTTTATTTAATATTGGAGTTGACTAATTTGACTTTAGTAGGAAAATGTATATTTTTATATCGTGTAAGCGAATTCTTTAAAATATAGGTACCCATTTTACAGTGACTAAAGCGCCAGGCTAAGTGATCAGAATGCTATAAAACTTGAATACATCGATGCAGAAAAAAAGGGCTTTTTAAACATATTTATAACTCATTTTTCCTTGGAATGACGCTTTAGACCTTTTATTTTTCCAGTGACGATATAATATTGACAAACACTTTAATGATATTTATTTTGTTGGGTAAATTCACGTTTTTTTTCTACCCGAAGTACCTTAAAAACCACTTTGTGATAGTAAAAAACTATTTTTTACCTGCAACATAATCTCCAAATCCTATAGTTGTCAATGTTACAAACGCATAGTAAACTGCTACATCAAATTCCCAACCTTCAAAGAAGCTGATGATGGTGGCCGGTAGAAATATGAAAAAAGTTAGACCTGGTACAGCATACAAAATTATTTGTCCAATGAGACCTAGCTTCGCTGAATGTTTTTCTAAACGTAGTGTTTTCCACCTTTGGTATAACTTTGTGAACTGAAAGAAAAAATAATGTATTCAAATATATATTATCATGGAATATTTTATTAAAAAAAAAATTAAATTGTGAAGCTTAATTTGCTATAACTATTAAAAATTGCGCTGCAAAATATTTTAAAAGACTTTCTGTGTATTTAATGTTGAAATCTCGATAACCCATACATTAGTTAATTTTCGCAGGAAAATAAGAAAATTAAAATGGGAAATAGTTTTTAAAAACTGTAAATTACATAGCAATAGTAAACCTTAAGGCAACTTAACTCAACTTATTTAGATTTCTGAGCCGTTACATAACAAAGATACGAACCTCCTTTCGTCAGGTATTTCGCTCAAAACTATTTTCTCCAAGTTCGCTCTCTAGGTGCGCTAAATTATAGAAACACATAAACAGCGATACCAGTTTTTATTCAAATTCCGGTATATCTTTAATATTTTTTTGTTGTTGAAATCAAAATAGGAGTTATGATACCACAATCAGAGCAAATACAAGTAGAATTATATACTTTTTACAGGAAAAAAATTTTTTTTTAAAAACATTCCTCTCAACTAGAGGTCGCGGTAAGTTTAATAGTACGAGAGCTAGCAACGTTTCCGAGAAAGAATTTTAGGTCTTTTGATATTTCTTTTCTTATTGAACTTGGTGGGTATACGGCACATCTGGCTGCTGGAAGTGGTTGCGTTTTCTTTTGCGCATCCTTTTTGTACAGGTACAAATTTCATATTTTCAAATCATTTTAGGTCGATTTTTTTTTCTTCATAATTTTCTATATCCTTTCAGTAATAAAAATGTAACGTGCCATACAGTTTTGATGTTGCTAACTCCGTGACAGATGCCATTTTATTAATAAAAAAAAAAAAATTCAAATAATTTTAGTATAGCTGAAATTTTAATATGATATAGGGATGCTATTAGAAAATCTAAAATTAATTTGTCATACAGATATTCTGTTGTTTAATTAGGGCCAGACCGATTTAAGTCCCAGATACATAGGAAAGTGCAGTAAGTTATGAGTCTGTTTCGCGAGAGATATAACTGCGACAGGAAGCGTCAGGAGAGAAAAATAAAAAAATATTTAAAATAAGTTATTTATTAAAGATTAAAATTTAATCACAGAATGAATAAAATTAAATTAAAAATTTATTAACACACGGTATTTGCAAAATAAAAACTCAATTTTTTATTATAAATATTTTCTTAATCACATACCAATTATAATTAAATATATTTATTCTATTATGGTGTCATATTAAAATAAAGCATCTTCAAGATTAACATCATCGTCACTACTTTCATTGTGATCATTGCTTTCATCATTGTCAAAGTTTTCTTCAGGTATATCGTTGTTTTCTAAAACTTCACTATCTGAAAAGAAAAATATTAATTAAATTAAGGAATGTAAGTAGGTGGTTACGTGTTTGGTGAATTTTTTTTTATTAATATTTACCTTGAACTATAATATCAGCAACCAATGATGGTAATTGGTCTCCAAGGAACCAAACAAAGTCATATTTGTTGTCGTTCATTGTCCAACCACAAGCTAGTGGTGATTGTCATATATCATTAGTTGTCAGTTGTGACAGGCTTACGGTCGAAGTGCCTGTATCAATTATTACTAGTTGTAATATATTAAATAAAACCTTTCTTCGAAAAGTGTTGCCTTCATATTACCACACTAGCTGTTGTCTGTTGTTCTCTACTCCAAACATTACATGGTGGCAAGCGGTTTTAAATCGCGTTGAAAGGTAAAATGAAAAGTGACGTTTTGAGACTCACTTCTGAGTTATAGAAACGGTTCTATATGTGGATTTATTGCATTAAAAAGTTGAGTATCTCAGTTTAAAAAATGGCAGAAGGGAATGATCCTCAACCGATGAGCTTTAAAGGAAATGTAGCGGCAAGTTGGAGGCTTTGGAAACAAAAATTCAACTTATACTTGTTAGCAAGCGAAAAAGAGAAAAAAACAGATGAAGTAAAGATCGCTTACTCCTAAATCTTCTTGGTGATGAAGGTTTAACTATTTACAATAATTTTGAATATTCAGACGTAGAAGAATCGACAAAACTAAGTGTTATCTTAAGTAAGTTTGAAAAACATTGTAATCCAATCAAGAATTTAGTTTATGAACATTATAAATTTTTTAAAAGAAACCAAGAAGTGGGTGAAACCATTGACGAGTTTGTAACAGCTCTGAAGGAACTCGCACGTACCTGTGAGTTCGCTGAAAAAGACATTTTATTCAGAGACAGAATTGTAATTGGTATTCGAAATCAACGTATACAGTCGAGATTACTAGAAAATAGTGAAATGAAACTTAAAGAAGCTATTCAGATTTGTCAGTCCATGGAAAATAGTTTGTTCGCACCAAAACAAATTGGTGGTGAATCAGCATCAGTAGAAGCGGTTGAAGCGGCGTATCCTAAAAATAAACCATCAAAATATGCTTGTAATTGTGACACTTCCAGAAAGGGAAATGACAACTGGCGACAGGGTCGGTCTCAGGACTCCATTTGCCAAAGTGAACGATTTAAAATGAACAGGTTTGGTAGAGGTCAAATTCAAACGTCAGGTATGATGCAATTTTGCCTTAATTGTGGTACTGAACACCAACTAGGTAAGTGTCCAGCAACTAATCGTTTTTGTGGTCGTTGCAACAAAATGGGTCATTTTAGGAAGTTTTGTAAAAATCGCGTTGTTCGTGAACTTTCAAACGATTCCTCAGATGAATTTGATCTTGATCAAACCAATATTAATAACGTAGATTACGAAACTGATAACAAAATTATTTGGACAATTATAGACTATAGTGTAAACGCTATTGAGTGGTGTGAATTAATACAAATAGCTGGTCATAATTTAAAGCTAAAAGTAGATTCTGGTAGTCAAGTCAATATTCTTAATTTTAGAGACTTTATGAAACTAAAAATTAGTGTTGACAACATTTCAAAAACCAATTCCACGTTATCATCTTATTCGGGATATAAAGTTAGTGTGCGTGGAAAAATATTAATTGTCTGTAAATATAAAAACATTCAGAAAATGTTAATGTTTTACATTTTAGATTCAAACATACCGAGTTCAATTTTAGGGCTGACCAGTGCTAAAGACTTAAATATCATAAATGCGGACTTTTCAGTAGAATCAGTGACTTCTAACAAAGAAATAGACTTTGTAAATTACATACTTCAAACATATAAACATATTTTTGAGGGTATAGGTAAAATTTCAAAAATTTGTAAAATTTCACTTCAAGATAATGCAATACCCAGTATTTCCGCTACTCGGAAGATTCCATATTCATTACGTGATAAGGTAAAACAAAAGTTAGATGAAATGGTAACCCAAAATATTATTGTTCCAGTTACTGAACCTACAGATTGGGTCCACCCTTTGGTGATAGCACCCAAAGCAAATGACCATATTCGTCTATGTTTAGACCCCTTGGAAATTAAATAAATATATTAAACGGGAATTTTTCCAAATTCCAACACAGGATGTTATATTTTCCCAGCTCTCTGGTTCTCAATATTTTTCACTATTAGATGCATCTTAAGCATTCCTTCAAATACCAATTGATCATAACAGTTCCCTTTTATGTACAGTGACAACCCCATTTGGCAGATATCGATATTTGAGGCTTCCTTATGGACTTTCATCTCCCGAAATTTTCCAAAGGTGCATACTTAAATTACTATCTGGACTATCAGGAATTGTAGCTTATTTTGATGACGTTTTAGTATTTGGTAGTACCTTAGATGAACATAATACAAACCTAGAAAATGCATTGAAAAAGATCAAAAATTCCGGTCTTACATTAAATTTAGAGAAATCAAAAATTTGCGTAAGGGAGTTAAAATTTCTAGGTCACATTATAAATCTAAATGGTGTAAGCCCTGATCCCAATAAGGTGAAAGCAATCATTGATTTAAAAAGTCCCAAAAATAAAAATGATTTACAACGATTTTTAGGTATGATAGGATATCTATCAAAATTTATTTTAAATTTATCTGAAAAAACTAGTACTTTAAGAAAACTTCTTAGTAATAAATCAGAGTGGCTGTGGTCCCTAAATGAAGAAAAATCTTTTGAAGAATTAAAATATTTTCTATCGGTTGATGCCAGTCCTTTCGGTTTAGGGGCGGTAATTCTACAAGATGGACATTCAATAGAGTTTGCGTCAGTTTCTTTGACGCAAACGCAGCAAAATTATAATCACATTGAAAAGGAACTATTAGCATTAGTATTCGGATGTGAAAGATCCTATTATCTTACTTTTGGTAACAATATCACTATTCAAATATCGCCAATTACTAGGCTTGCTTAAAAAACCTTTTGAAGACCTATCTCCTAGAATTCAACGCCTTACCTTTCGTTTATTGAGATACCAATTTGAATTAGTTTACGTTCCTGGAAAAAATCAACAACTTTCTGATACACTCAGTAGAGATCCTATTAATACCTTCATCGACACATCCTATGTCGACACAAACCTAAAAATTTATTCAATTCTTTCAACCTCAGAAGAGAACGAAAATCGTTTAAAAATAGCAATTTCTACAGATCCTATCCCCCAAAAAGTAAAATATTATCTATTAAATGGTTGGCCATCACATAAAGGCAACCTACCTCCACTTTGAAACATTTCTGGCAAATTGGACACGAAATATTTTGTCACAATGATTTAATTTTTTATCAAAAGAGGTTAATAATTCCTGACAGTTTAAAAGCAGAATTTTTAAACTTGATACACGAAAGTCATCAAGGAGTCGTTGCCTGTAAAAGAACGGCAAGAGATTGCATATACTGACCTGGATTATCTTCAGACATAGAAAATACTGTTTTAAGGTGTATAACTTGCCAAAAATATTTCAAGACAAATCCAAGGGAGCCTCTCCATTCTCATTCAGTTCCGGAACTTCCGTGGCAAAAAATTGGAATCGATTTCAAGTCGTTAGGCACATTGAATTTTATAGTTATTATTGATTATTACAGCAAATTT